GGCTCTTTGCAACTGTCTTTCAAGGGAGGCAGCACAACAGGCCAATTTTGGGGACAAGGAAACCAAGGTAACACAGCCAACTCAGTGGTGGTGACATCTGCGTTAGATCTCAGCTCCTGCTTCGCTGCAGTGCCCACACACCCTGTACCTGCAGAAAGGGACATCCAGTGGGCCCTTTTGTTATCCCCCCAAGTTTTTCCCTTGACAGCTAAATTAAAAACCATGTGGAAACCAGGAACAGCTTCCTGGTCTATACCAAGGACAACATGATACTCCTTTTCACCTATACCCTGGCTCTCCTTGGCCATGGCCTGGCACCCTCAAATCCATCTCTTGCCCACACATGGGCTCTCTCATCTGAGGCTGAGGGGATGATCAGTGTCTCTGTGGCACACAGCCACCCTGAGGGATCCCAGGTCGCTGTCTTGCCTTGGCGGGAGGGAAGCAGGATCCCCAGCTGGAGTTAGCTGCTAGTTGGCTCCACGTTGGGCTGTGCCGTCTGTCCCATTTGATGACCCCTTGGGTTTTAGAATCCCTTCTGACAATCTTACTTTTTCTACTTTTCTCACCATTCTTTATGTTGGGGGGTTGTGATCACCCCAATCATTTTTGCCTTGGAGAATAATTTCCAGACATATTTTAGGAACTTGAGAATAGAGGTGGAGGGCTTAAAGATAGTTCTTATACTGCGGAGATTGAGACAAAAATGATGCCAAATGGCATTTCTGGTTAGGTTGGTCCATCTGCATCTTGACTAGTTTCTACCGGTCTGATTCTTAAAAATCTGTGAACTCAGACTTCAAGGTGAAAGGAGTTAAAATAGAGAAATGTAAAGGAACCAAGAGATGTTAGTGGTTAATTTAGCTTAATTTAGTGGTTAATTTCTGTAGCCTATAACCTCATAGAGGGGAAAAAAAAAAACTATGGTCACCTACACACACTTACTGAGCATTTACTGTGGTCAAGGCTCAGATCAGCGAATCATCGTTTCTGTGTGTCTGTGAAGGGCCTTCATTGTGGGCACCCACAAAAAGAATTTAAACAGAGCTCATGCATGAGGATGAATGATGGAGTTATCTCTTTCTCCCTCTAACTCTTCATCATCCATAGTCTTTTTCTAATTGCTGGGAGATCCTTCAAATGGTCAAAGTTGCCCAAAGCCCCCCTGAGCCCCATAGTCTGAAGAAAACCTTCCGCTGGACAACTTCTGGGAGGAGCGACAGGCAGTGATTAGCCTTGTAGGTCCACCCACGTGGTGCTCTGTGACTAGGGGCAAACAGGAGTATCTGTCCGCTGTGATCACGTGCAGCCGGGAGCAATGACGGGCTGCTGCCCCTCATTAGCCTCCGATGAGGCGGCATGGCTGCGTGCGATTTTCTCCAGTCCATAGAGCACTTGTGCAGCTCAGGACCGAGGCTCTGCCTCTCTTGGTTAGTGTCCCAAGATTCCTTTCTCCCCTGTCCCATACTGCCGCCCAGAAGGAGGTGCTGAAATGATTAATGAGCAGGACATAAAGACAACTGGTGCCCAAAGCAATGGCTGTCTGGCACCATCCGCTGAATAATTAGACGAATGAGGCAAAGTGAGGTCTCGACCAGCGGGGACTTTGGTGCAGGAAACACCAGTCTCTCTTGCTTGAATCAGGGTGTCAGGCCTTCCTTGCCCCACCTGGGCTATTCCTTTAGCTTCCTGCATCCCTTTCCCCCAGGTCTGCTCTTGGGAGTGAAATAGTGACTGTCCCCTTGACCCTGAGAGCCCGGGAGAAGGCTGTGCATGTTAGCAACTGCCCAGACCCTCTACACAGAGCGGCAGGGCTGAACCAGTGTTGCCAAGAACCTGACAGTGTTCGTGACAAAAGCAAGAGCTCCTGGCAAGAAGTCTGAGGGACTTTCTTCATCACGAGTGGTATCTCCTGAGCACTTTAATTACAGCGGATTAAGCCAGAAGTGGAATGCTGGACTAAGGGAATAATGACACAAAGGAGGTGAAACAGAAAACCCCGGTTTCCTTCTTTTAAGGAAAAAAAAATCTCTATTTATTTAAATGAATTGCAAAGAAAAGAATGGAGTGTAGCATTTCCCCCAGCCCAGAGTTCAATGGGTTTTTAAAGAACTGCGTATCTCTTTGGCCAGACCAGCGGCTAGGATCTTCAGCCTGTCTGCAGAAAATGAACCGCAGGCTTGGAACTTCATTAAGATGCAGGAACATTCCTTCTGGACTAATGGCTCGCTCATTCAGCACCTTCTTTCCTGCTTCTCCTTGCAGGCCCTTGCCTGGCTTAGCTTATATTTTACATTCAACACCTCTAGTTACCCAGAAATTGCATGCAAAATTGTAAAATGGAAAATCATTGGGCCATGGCTTCATCAGTTCTGCCTGGCATTGCAGCATCCTTGACTTGGAATGCTCAGAGTCTGGGCTAGGAGATTTGCTTACAGAAAGCCCAGAGGCCACAAACACCTACCAAAAGTTGCAATTTGAATACACGCTCTTAGCACACCTGCTGTGTAACTGGGGCAAATCTATAACATGAATAAGACTGAAGTCAGACTGTGGAAAGTCCCAGTGAACAGGGAAATTGCCAGAATGGAATGTAGGTAAAAGTAGTGGTTGTCTTAGATGCAGTGGCTGTGGGAGTTGACAAAGTTTTGCTAAGAGGAGTCTTGTCAGGCTCAGCGCTTAATAACTAGCCATATCTACAGTGATCCCACATGGTAACCTGTTTGTGATTCATCGTCGTACCTAGAGTCCGCAGCAAGGAGTTCTTAAACCTTGTCATTCACACTGTGTTTGGAAAATGATAGGATACCACGATCCAGAGGGAAGCAAGGAAAGGGGGGAGGCAGGAAGAGAAACAGGGATCCAGCGCCCACTGTGTGCTCAGTGCCGTGCTCAGCATGCCACCTGTCAGTTCATCGCATCTCACAACAGCCTGTAAGATAGGCGTGGTTATTCCTGATACACAGGTGGGAAAACTGAGGCTCTGAGAAGTTTGACTACTTGTGGGAGGCAGCAGTTGGTATGATGGAAGAAGTATGGGCTTTGGAGGTGGGATCAGAGGCCAGCCTTACCACCTGGGAGTTCAGTGAGCTGGGCCAAGTAGGGTAACATCTGATATTTCATCTGTAAAATCTGGACAAGTATGGCTACACACTGGATTGTTGAGAGGCTCAAATGAGATAATATAAATAACAGCACAGTCCCGGCACACAATAAACCCTCCGAAAATGGCAGGTCTCCATCTATGATCTCACAGTGGGAAAACCAAGATCTGAACTCCAGGAGGTCCGCGTCACCCCACCCTCAGGCCCCTTCCACCATGACATCTCTGGATCCACACTTGGGTACTATTAAGTTCCAAGGACAAGCACAGCCAGGACACGGTGCCCTCGGAATTCATTCCGTTTCAGCTGTGTGTGCTGCAGGTCAGTCCTGAAGCCTCAGCAGACAGAGCTGCTGAGACCAGCAGGAGAATGACCTCAGGCCATCCTGCACAACCACAACAGATATTAGCCTCTGAACATTTCTTTTTTTTTGAGACGGAGTCTCACTCTGTTGCCCAGGCTAGAGCGAGTGCTGTGGCGTCAGCCTAGCTCACAGCAACCTCAATCTCCTAGGCTCAAGCGATCCTCCTGCCTCAGCCTCCCGAGTAGCTGGGACTACAGGATGTGCCACCATGCCTGGCTAATTTTTTGTATATTTACTTTTAGTTGGTCAATTAATTTATTTCTATTTTTAGTAGAGACAGGGTCTCTTGCTTGGCTGGTTTTGAACTCCTGACCTTGAGCGATCCGCCTACCTCGGCCTCCCAGAGTGCTAGGATTATAGGCGTGAGCCACTGCGCCCGACCTAATCTCTGAACATTTCTGTATGTTTGAAATATTTCATTTAAAAATGTACAATCTCCCTCCAAAAACTACATGATGGAGATTTCATCAGACCTGATGACTGATTAGACAAAAGAGAGCAAGACACAGGAGTTTAAAAATAACCTTGGTGCATACCTTCAAAACTTGCCACATTACAGTACTAAAATTATCTATCTCTGTGTCTGTCTGCCCTGTTACTGTATGCATTACACGCCTTTGAATCCTCCATGCCTAGCACAGTGCCTGGTACATAGTAGGTGTTCAAAAAAAGTGCCCATCATAAGTTGGACTAAACTACCAACACAGTAACAAAGATCCTGTAAGAGCAAGGTTCCCAGGACTGTAGCTTCTAGACCTGTGTGTGGCTTCACTTGATTTCAGCTCACCTTAGGACCCTGAGGCAGGCCGTCCATTTTCATAAGCACCTCTGAGTGGGGCCGCCCAGTGCGGAGCACCAGAGATGCTCATGTTCAATTACTCAGAAGGTGGGTTAAAGGGCACTGCCTCCCGTTTCCTAGAGAGATGTACTTTCATTCCCTGAAATGACAACTTCTCTGCACTCACTTAATAGGATCCCAAATAACATGTTGCAAACCAATCTTTTATCACTGTTGCCCCTTGGAACACATTTCAAATGCTGGCCATTAAAAACAGGCCATTTCACGGGCCTTTAATGATGACACTAATAACTGTGGATTTTTGTCTCCTAGAGTCCTGATGAGCCAAGCCAAGGAGTAAATTACGGAGCTAACTTTTATGTGCAAGGTTTATTGATCTGTGAGCTTCAAGGGAACTACACCAGCCCCTATAGCTCGGCAGTCGAGATTACCTTTTCATCTATGTAATTGGGCCACCAGGGCACAGTTAATTTTCAATTTATATTAATAGGAAGACAAAGAACATGATGTGCCACCTCTGTATTAAAGTAATGGACATATCAAAATATTCTACCTGGTAATTATCAGTAAATCAGCTTTCCCATGACCCAGCGAGGATTATGTTGCTAATTCACTGTGCACTTCATCACAATTTATCATGAGGAAGTTCAGTGCTGTCACATATAAAGGTGCTTCACTGTAAAGCATCCAGCTGTCTTCACCTGTATTGCTGCCCGTCTTTGTTTTTCACCAGGTGAAAGTCATGCTTCGCATTTGTTCCACCCTGGCTCGGGATACCTCGGAATCCAGCTCTTTCCTAAAGGTGGACCCGAGGAAGAAGCAAATCACCTTGTATGATCCCCTGACTTGCGGAGGTCAAAATGCTTTCCAGAAGAGAGGCAACCAGGTTCCTCCTAAGATGTTTGCCTTTGATGCAGTTTTTCCGCAAGATGCCTCTCAGGTGGGTATAAATGCCACTCAGGTGGCGCTGATCAAAGCAGCATTTACTCATTCGCTAGGACCTGTGAGCAGGGAGGGTGTCTTTCAGAGCATTCTGATGGAGCAGTTCCTCCATCTGCACAACTTTTGGAAGTCAATTTGAGCCTCATTGAATAGTTCAGTGCTTTTGAATTACTGGTGTCATACGTTGGGCGGGATCAGTGTGCTGGGATTTCAACAAAACATGTCCTTGGGGAGAAGGATGAGTGAGCCAGTTGGTGGGTAGCATATAGAAGCAGGAAGACAGCAGGCAGAATCAGAAGTTACAGGAACAGCTGGCCCACTTCTAGGTATGGGCATGGAAGAAGGGAAAAAGCATTTCAGGGAGCGGGGTTAGAATTAGATGACATCCTTGGGCCCTATATAAGCACACTGGCGTGGAGGGCAAGTCTGTAGTCCTAGTGAGGAACCAGAGTGCTAGGCAGGACAGCTGAGGCTGGCATGCATCCTGTGGCTTGGATCAGTGGGGTGTAGGGGAAGAGAGAGGCTTGGAGGTAGCTATTGTATCAGTTAGCTATTGCTGCATTACATAGCACCCTAAAACCCAGTGCTTAAAACAATAAGCATTTTTATTGCCCATGGGTCAGCTGAGCAGCTGTTCTGGTCCTGGATTAGCTCATTTATGTGTCTGTGATCAGCCTCAGCCATAGGTCGGGTGGGAAGCTCTGTGGGTCTTAGCAGGATGCTACCCAGCCAAAACGAAATAATCCTGTATTACACTATGGGCACATGTTTGGGGGTGGCCTGGCTTTAGGCTGGTCTAGAGTCACCTTGGCTGGGTCAGATGGTCTCTCTTCCACATCATCTGTCATCATCCAGCAGGCTAGCTTGGGCTTGTCCTCACGGCAGTGTCCAGGACCCAAGCATGCAGGCCCCTTGAGATCCAGCCCAGAACTGACACAGCGCCCTTCTGCTGCGTTCTATTGGCCAAGCTTTGAGAGGTGGGAGGGAGGAGCTGCAAGCCACATTGCAAGGGCCTTGCACACAGGGTAGGGTGGAGAATTGGGGCCATTTTTGATAATCTACTATGAGTATAATTTAGAGGCTACTTGGGGGCCCAAGGTGCCAAAATTACTGGACTATAAGTTGCCAGTGAATTGCAAATCCTACCAGATGGTGCAGCTGACACTTCTAGTAGACATCGGTTCTTACTTGGATTGGCTTCTGGAGCTGTGGTGAATATTGGCCTCTGAGTGGCACCAAACAGTGCCTGTTCCTGCAAGGGACTGGGCATAGAGGAGGGCACATGAGTGTAGAACTGATTGCAGAAATAAATAGCCCAGGCTGTAAGTATCCAGGGGCCTACTTTGCCTGCATTTTGGCATCAGACACCTGCAACTTTCTGATAAATTTCCAGTACTTCTCAAGATTTATACAAAACTGTGTGTAACTAATAGCCTCTAGCAGAGCCTGAGGACAATGATGTAGCCGCTGTTAATTTCCTCCATGTTGTATGTAGTATAGGAAGTGATGGTGTTCACCCGGGCTCCGATATCACACCATGGACACACAACACATATTATAGGCTCCGTTCATTAAGACGTTGAGCACGTAGTTTCCCCAAAGAGTTTTACCATAAGAAGACAAAGTAGTTTATGAATAAATTCTATGGTTTCTCTCTTTATTACCTTTTTGTGTGTTGCACTACCCAATGGGCTCAATAATTTAAACCTGATATTAGTTCTAATAAATTGCCTACAAATAATTTAATTAACACAGTTAAAACTTTTCAGAAGCGTATCTCTGTAAGTTGTAAATTTCCAAAGCAAATCCTAAATTAAGCATGGACTATTAATGAATTTTAAATTTATTGAGAAAAAGGAGCCATGTTTTATTTCTAATCTTTGTTTACATTGCACACTCAGTTCCAGAGCTCAGTATGCTCTATGTTGCAGTTTCACTCACTTCAGAATGTTTTACTTTTGTTTAAATTTTCCATATTATAATAAGTTAACATTTCTATGTAAATTTGTACTTTTTCAGAAGTTTTGACTCTTCCTAGAATTCTGTGGGGTAGGAAAGGTAGGCATTATCTTTTCACATAACAGACAAGGAAACTGAGACTCAGAGATTATGTCACTTGTTCAAAGTCCCTGTCTTGAGCAGATATCCTTTCTGTATTCTTCCCATTAACCTCTCTGCATCCTGCTCATGTTGTTCTCTAACCTCCCTCCATTTTATCCACTGTTACTTGCTAGTATGGCCTTAGGCAAGACACTCGACTTGTGTGGGCCTCTGCATCCTCATGTGTCAAACGAGGGCAAGACTAAAATGTGCCTTGTTGGGCTGTTGTGATTCATCGATTTGACACATACCAAGTACCTACAGCAGAGCATGGAATATAGCAAGTGCTCAATAAATGTTATTCTTACCATGATATCATTAGTCTATGGCCATACCACCCTGAACACTCCCGATCTTGTTTGATCTTAGAAGCTAAGCAGGGTTGGGCATGGTTAGTATACTTGGATGGGAGACCATTACATCATCATTGTCAATATTGGTATCATACCACCGGCCATGGCCTGCTCAGCTTCCATAGGCTACAAAAGCTCAAAAACCAGAAAGTGCAGAGTAGACCTCTGCTCTCAGGTCCCTGTGGTTAGCCTGTGAAGCAGCAGCCACCACAGTGACCCCAGGCAGTTATACAATTTGCTTTTTCTCAGTTTCTGAAGATATCCAGCTTCCTGAAGCTAAGCAGTGATTGTTAACAGTCCATGTTCCTTGTTGCCTGAATGAGCCATCCTTATTTCCCCTAAGTGGCCTTGGCAGTCGCTAGCTGCCTACTGCCAGGACAAACTTCCGCTGGATCTGGCTTGTGGGGTTGGAAGTGGGGGATCAGAGGCTTCCTGCAGACTTGGCCCTGCCCGTGGGGTCTGTGCTCAGGAAGGCTGCATGCTTCTCCATGTCCAAGGGGAACGCAGCAAGGGGCCTACAGGAGCCATGGTCAGCTCTTAACAAACACCAGTTGGACAAATTGCTGACTGCTCTATTCTCAGTAGATAGCCGACAGGAGCTCTGCAAGGGATGCCTGGCCACCTGTGCCCTCAGACGCCACTCCCGTGCTCCTCTCTATCCTCTGCACAGGTGATTCAGTGATGGCGGTCTGGTCTACATACAACCAGCATTTTTCCTGGTGACTCAAGAATCTAATGGTTTATTTTATGTATGGCTCAGGGTGGGCTCACGGCCTCCCGCCTCCCATCTCACTTATGTTGAAGGAAGCATTAGTTCACTGGGCAGTAACTTCTCCCCACTCTGCAGCGGCACTTCGGGCCAGCTCATCAAGATTCAGCTGCCTCGGTCTCAGGGTTTAGCGCCAGGCTCCAGTTGCCTAGGTCCTGGGGGTGTGAAAGCTCCTGTGGTTCCCCAGAGTGGACCCTGCCCTGCTGCCCCTGTGGCCAAGGATGAGCCCCCAGCAGAGCTGCTGAGGCAACCACTCTAGAACAATCGACAGTTGTTGGGAGTGTGGTTTTTAAATTTCAGTTTAGGAGAGAAAATTGATTACGAGATACTTAGGTTCATTGTACTGCTGAAACCTGGAGCTGAATAACTACATTCATTGCCCAGGCTGCTGGGTTTTAGATTCCCACTGGGAGGCACATAGCTCTGCCGACTGCAGGGCCCCAGTGTGTGCATGGTCTCCCGAAGCTTCTGCAAGCCCTGACTCTGGCCCTGAGACAGGACCGAAGGCAACAGGACACAGGGAATGAGTCTGTCCTCCTGCTGCTGTGAAGAGGCTCAGGTACCAACCAGAGAGGGTTCCCAGAGTTCCAAGTTGGTCCACAAAATTTATGGAGTTGCTGTTGTTTGCAGAGCACTATATTACTGGGTGTTAATGGGGAAATACAAGACTCATCAAGAGCCTGGTCCCTGGCCAATGATTTATTGATCAGGTTGGAGATGAGACACACACAACAGGCTGAAGAACCCCCATGGTATCCTGGCAAGTGGCGGCTGATATTGTGTATGTTTAACATATCCGTAAGGAAAGAAAAAAGGCTGGTTTTGAACGAGGAGGCCGTGGATTGGGAAAGTAAAAAGAGATGAGAAGAGAGAGCAGACACCGATCACAAACTTCCTGCTTACGTCAGAACTACAGTGTTTCCCAAAGCCTCTCTCCTGAAATGGCTCATCGGCTCTTCCCCTCCCATAAGCCTGGCCCATTTCATAAGCTGTGTGTGTGAAGGAAAGATCTAGTTAGCAACGGGTGAATGGAGAGTTTAATTGCCTGGTCCAGGAGGCTGGAATGGCAGATGAGGAAAGGGAACGACGACATCCATGAGCACCCTATGCCCCCATTCTAGCCTGCTCCTGCCCGGTCTACACATGCAGCAGCTGAAACGTACCACAGATCAGCAGAGGGGCGGTTTGCAGTTAACATGTGTAATGATCATGTTTGCAAAGGGTGGACGGTATCCAAGGGTTCGGAGCCCCTTCAGGCCTCTGTGGCAGGGGCTGGCCCTTCTGGGAATGCAGTGACGCTGGGACCCTAAGCCCGGGGAAGGGGGGCTCACTTTTATGTCATTAATGGTGCCTTGGCCATGTGGTCCATTCACAGCTCGTGTCTCCTTTTGTGTCTGACAGGCTGAAGTGTGTGCAGGAACCGTGGCAGAGGTGATCCAGTCCGTGGTCAACGGGGCCGATGGCTGCGTGTTCTGTTTCGGCCACGCCAAGCTGGGTGAGTGAGAGCTTTACTTTCTTGCTGCTTGTTGCATTCCCTGTTGCCCCAGGCGTTCTTCTGTATTGGTCGCAGAGTCCTCAGATGGAAGGAAGGATTGAGTTTCTCTTAGGTGCATTTCTGCTTTTGAAATGCGATGCTCATCTCAAGTGGACACCCATTCATGCAGGAAAGCCTTCAAGTCCGGGAGATGAACCAAGAGTGGCAGGGCTGTTCCCACTTGGTCCAGGTCAGAGAGGCAAGCAGGGAAATGTACGTTTCTGGAGCAGGGGCTGTGCGGGAAGCAGCTAGGGCTCCCTGCACACACCTCCACCGCCAGGGTGATCGGAGCTGAAGTGAAAGCTGGAGGAGCAACCACCGAGCAAAGCCCGGGACCGTGTTAGCACCTGCCTGGGGAAAGCAGCCTGGCCAGCCACCCTTGCTGCCCAGTGCGCAGTGTCTGCACGCTGCCGGAGCGCCCCGTGCACAAGCATCTGGGGAAGGAGGCAGCGGCCCCAACACACACACAGGGTTTCAGTTAAATCCCCTCATAGTCCCATCTTAACCCTGACCTGTGGCCACCTGCTCACCAGGCCTTGCCGTTCACGCTTGATAAATTAGTGACTTGGAGCACTGCAACACGTGTTCTTGGCAGAGACTCCAGCAGAGGCCCTGCAGAGGGCATGGAGGCCAGTTCTCGGCCAGGACAGAAAGCCCGTCACCTCTCTCTGCACTTCAGTCCCAGCCAGCTCTTCCTCTTTCCTTGATCTCCATCAAAGCAATGAGCTGGACTTTAATGGAATTTGCTCATGCTATAAAAATATACACAGCATTTAACTTGAGAAAGGATATAAAGTGCAAGTATGTGGATTTAATCTGTTAGGTGGCTGTAAAAAGAATCGTAATAATGATGAAAAGTTCTTGCCTTCCACATACTGCATGTGTAAAACAATGCAGAAACTGGATAGCTTGTGATGTTTGGGGCCTTGATCAAGGTACATTGTGATTTGATCGTGTCATTTGCCTGGGCGCTTGCCGTCTTTATGATAGCCATTTAACCAGTAGTATTAGGAAATGCATTTTTTTGTTTTTGTCAAATGCTTACTATTTCTCTCACCTTTTTATTCCTTTTCTTCCCTTTTCCCCACTTCCTGTGCCTTCCGCAGCCTTGATATCTATTTTCAAGACTGTAGAATGGTGCCTGGACACTCAAACTGCTTTTTCTTTCTCCCCCGGCTCTCCCAGGCAAATCCTATACCATGATTGGGAAGGACGACTCCATGCAGAACCTTGGCATCATTCCCTGTGCCATCTCTTGGCTCTTCAAGCTGATAAATGAACGGAAAGAAAAGACTGGCGCCCGCTTCTCTGTCCGGATCTCAGCCGTGGAGGTGTGGGGGAAGGAAGAGAACCTGCGGGACCTGCTGTCAGAGGTAGCCACGGGCAGCCTGCAGGACGGCCAGTCCCCGGGCGTGTACCTGTGCGAAGACCCCATCTGTGGCACGCAGGTGATTGCTCCTGGAGCCTGGCTTGCCCCGAGGAGGCTCATCCCGGCCTCAGAGGCTGGGGCAGCCCAACCCCAGGAATCACTCAACCTGGAAACTGGGAGGCTTACGAGTGTTTACTTAAAGTGGACTGGAAGTTTATGGTCTGCAGCTGCAGGGCCATCTGCTCGCCCAGCCTAAATATTTGTACCTTGAATCTAGTTGACAATGCACAGGAACCAACCACAATTGTTGTAGCATTTGGGGGCGGAAATCGAATTCACTTTCTTTACGTCCCTTTCAAAAAAAAGAGTACAATCTTTCTTTTGTTTAACAACAAACCGAAATATTTACTGCTCTGCATAAAATAGCTACAGCCATTACTGGGGCTGTTTATGGCTCTATAAACTGTGTTTCTGGCACTGGTTTACAGTCGGATTAGCAGTGCTGTAGGAAAAAGTAATAACCACTTTCTAATTAGAACCGTGATATAATTGTTAGAACTAAGGAAGCCAAGAGAAGCTCCAGTTGCCTTTTCAGGATGTTATGCCTGGTACGAGTGTCTCCCCCTTGCTGTCTGACAATAGATGATTCGGGACCCCCTAATTTGTATCCAGAACAATCCATTCTTCCGGTCTCTAGCAGTAGGCTTTATTTTCCAATTTTATCAGCTGCCTCTTCCTTTACATATGTGTTCCACACGATCCCAGCTGAGATTGTTTGCACAGGTAAGGATACCCCTAGTGGTCTCTGTTACACTTATCTACTCAAACCTGCTCTACCTGGCCATGCTCTCTCCCTGCTTAAAGCACCTCAGATCCTTCCCTCTTCCTTATGAATCCTCTTTAGTCTCCCTCAGAGTCACCTGGAGGACTTGTTAAAACACTGATCACTGGGCTCCACCCCCAGAGTTTCTGATTCTGTAGGTGTACTGCAGACCTACTGCTCCAAAATTTGCATTTCTATCAAGTTCCCACGTAATGTTGATGTTTGATCCAGGGACCACACTTTGAGAACCACTGTTCTAAAGTGTAAACTCTGCTCCGTCGGTATCTACACAGCACGTGTGGTGGAATCAGTAGGACTCTATCTGCTGCTCCTGTTCCCAGTGTTTCCGAGACATTCAGACATGCTTTCACCTCCACTCACTTTGTCACTCCATTGGGGAAGTTCCATCTAGGTGAGAGATCGGGTTCACTGAAGGCTAAGAAGAAGAAGAGGAAGAAACCAACATTCTCTTTAACACTTCTTGTTAAAGAATATTTATTATCCCTTGGTTTATTTTTCTATAGCAAGTACAAAACCATGAACACAATAGAATCTCTCTTTGAAGTTCAAGGACTTTAATGGTCTCAGGTTCTGAATATTGCCTCTCACAGTTCAAAATTAGAGTAGAAAATTGTCAGAATTTGTACCAGCCCTAAGACATATACTGCAAATCAGTTCTTGGAAAAAAACTCAAGTCCAACAGTTCCCTTTTCTCCCCAAAAAGAGAATGCTGGTCAAATTTCGATAATATGATTGTTCTGATTCAGGTTTACTATAATTGCAAAGTGTTCTCATAAGATTTAGACACATTACCCTCTGTGCTTTCTTTAGTTAATTAATTAGTATGCCAGGAACATGAATTCAGGAACTAAAGGTAAAAATAGATATCTCTTAAATACAGATGATATCTCTTAAATTCAGATGAGAATTTAGGAACTAAAGGTAAAAATAGATATCTCTTAAATACAGATGAGACACATGGGTATTTCAGGGTACCTTTTACACTTCTTGTTTATGCTAGTAAATGTGACCTAAAATTGGCTTTAATTAAATAACTGAACAATGAGGGGTCATGTGAAAGCTAACCAAGTTATTTACTTCTCTGGGACACCAGTGCTGTCAGGTCTAAAATCACATTTTGCAACCTACCCATCTCCAAACAATCTAATCTTTGGAATCAAGATACTGTCATATCCCTTATCCCTTGTGTTTTCTTAGGTAAATGGGTAGCCAGGGGGTTAGTTTGCTAGCCTCTGCAGAGATAAGGCTGGGCCACCTGCTCCCTGGGGTCACTCCCATGCAACCATTTGCTTTTCACACCTGCTATTTATAGACCCTCTGTAAGTTGTAAAATGGGTAAAAATAGGTTCTATCCAATTAAGTGTGCTCAATATTAATCTTCAGAAGTGAATTAATTAAGCTGTGAATTGCACATGAGTATAGCACCTGGTTCCAGAAGGACTTCCAGCCTTAGAGACGCGTGTGGCTTTACTGTACAGAAGGGACAGCGGCTGAATGGAGCAGTAGCACCCAGGCATGGGTGAAAGGCAGACCCTCCTTGGCCTGCAGCCTCATTCAGTTCTTGGCTTCTGTCTCGCAGCTGCAGAACCAGAGTGAGCTGCGCGCCCCCACCGCCGAGAAGGCCGCCTTTTTCCTGGACGCAGCCATTGCCTCCCGCCGGAGCCACCAGCAGGACTGCGACGAGGACGCCCACCGCAGCTCGCACATGTTCTTCACGCTGCACATCTACCAGTACCGGATGGAGAAAAGCGGGAAAGGGGGAAGTGAGTCGCCACTCTCTACCTTCGAGTCCCCTCCTCTCCTCCCCCCGCCAGAACCCCGCCTCTCGGGCACCTGTGCCCTTTTCTCAGTGGAGTGCCATGTGCAGTACGGTAGCATCTGGGCTGAAGTTTGCTCTTGAACTGTTCAGGGAAAAAGGGTTTGTTTCAGTACAGAAAACTTATAAAAGTGATTGCCATGAGAACACAAAAGGGCAAACTAAAAAACAACTGTTTAATAGTGTTTTTTTGTTCATAAACCCTAAATGTGGTTATCATGAAAGACCAACATTTACCCATCTAACCCCCCTAGAGTATGTTATTAATCATTAGCTTGAGTCTGCTATATGGGCCCAAAAGAAAGTCATGTTTTTTAAAGAATGTAGAAATGAGACTTTTGAGTAACCACCAGGCCCCGGCTGCCTCTCTCAGGATGTGCCATCAGCGTGGAGTCCCTGCAGAAGCCCAGGCACGGTGCCTGCTCTGGGAGCGAGCTGCGTCACCAGGAACCAGCCCTGTGGTGTACAGACCCCTCCTGGCCAGTTTTTCCAAGTCAGCACGGTCCTTGGTGCAGTTCTCTGTCCTCCGTCAAGTAGTGTCTGCTCTACGCCCAGCAAAGCCCAGTGCCAGCCCACAGCTGAGTGTCTCAGGTGGCATCTTGGTCTGTTGACCTCGCTGGGTCTCTAAGGCAAGCTGTGGGCCTCAGCGCCGCTGGGCTGGCCAGGCAGTGGCTTCCGCAGACTCTCCATGTCCACCTTGGTGGGGATTTCAAAACACGGGCAGCTGGACCCCAGTGTCCTCTGGATGATTGTCTCAAGGACACTGGATGCCAGAGAAACAGAGAACTCTGAGTTAGGAGACTAACCCTGGCCTGGAAATTGTAAAGCCATTGGACTAAAGCAGAGGCAATCAACAAACATATTCTAGGGGAATCCTGGAATTAAGCCATCCTCTGGGATCTGTGGACAAGGCTCTCCCATTTCTCCCTAAGTCTCCTTATTGCCCCAAAGACTTGAAAACCAGTACTCCTAGAGATAGCTCTTGGGGGCCTCTTACCCCCAAGTGGAAGCTCCTCCCTTTCCCCATCTCAGTGATCTTTGACCTGTCTCCTGCCATTGTTCCTATTCCTTAATTGTTGTTTACATTCAGATTTATCAACGTTTGATTTATAGTCAGTAAGACTTAACGCTTTTTATGTGTCTTTAGATGGGTTTTGGCAAATCTATGTGGTCATACAGCCACCACCACTATGAAGATAGAACAGTGCCATCACCATGCAAAATCCCTCTTGCCCTTTGTCCCTACCTCATACCTCTATCTGCCTGCAACCACCAATCAGATTTTCATCTTTCTAGTTTTGCCTTTCTCCAGAATATCATACAAATGAAATCATGTGATCCATATGTGGCCTTTTGTGTCTGGCTTCTTTCATTTAGTGTTTTTGATACTCACCCATGTTGCCGCCTGCTCCTTTAATTTGACGGGGCCTGGAAACCTGGCTCCTACCCTCACCTCCAGGACTGAATGCAAATATCTGCACCTGGGGTTGGCAGGCCACTAACCAGCTCGCCTTTATGGCTTTAAAAATCAGCCGTGAGCTACCTGCACCGGCTGCCACCCAAGGAACCTAGAGATACTGGCTCTCACTTGCAGCACTTTGGGCATCCCAGGGATTTGTCTCCATTGGCAGAGGACCAGATCTCTCTTGACAACCTGTGATGGTGAGAAAGGACTGACAGGGGAAGAGCAGAATATGTTGAATGAGAATCTTTCAGGGGAGATTAATTCCCAGTAAAGGGTTCACATCATGTAGAGCGCTCCCGTTTAGAGTAACTTCTTAAAGAAGGAAATGGGAGATTAGGATAAGGATGAGAAGATCCAGGCCTTTAGTTCAGAATCCACAACAGAATTGTATCCATATTTCTCCTAACAGTCTGAGAGCTGGCCTGAAATCCTGCCCTGTTGGTTTTTTTCTCAGTAATGTCTTAGCAGTGTGAATGTGAGAGACTGAATGATGTTTATTTTATTCTTTTAAGCAGCTATCAATAATAATAATAATCAGAGCCTGCAGTAGATTCTTGCACTTTCAGCAAAGGGTGACTCGTAAAAGATCTGAATCTTGAGCCAAATGGCTCCCAAATGGTACTGAGCAGAAAATCTCAGGACATGGCACAATCTCCTCTTCTTCTTAGATTTCAAACCAAACTGAGAACAACTCTGGTTTGGGGTTTATATTTTTTTACTTTTTCCTGGTTCTGCTCTCAATTTGAAATCTGAACATTGGGAAAAATCTTGAAAACAGGGAAACAGTTAATTAAATTGCTTCTAATGTAAAAACCTAAAATTCAGCTTCCACAGAAGTTTAGGCTTGGATGTTTCCTAAACTCAGTGATCCATCCCAAATCAGTACTTAATGAATCCTTGCCATGTATTAAATATTTAGCATCAAACTCATCTTCTTCCTATTTTTAATTTGTGAAAGAGAATTGCTTTTAAATAATAAATTTAGGTTAAAGGAAAAGGCAAATACCATTAATGACTTCCAGCACCTCTTTGAGGTTCTTTCTAATGTTTCAGTGGATAAGAACAGGGAAGAGGCAAGAGTCCAGGCTACTGGGGATTAGTCCTAAAAAGATCTGGGGGGACACCTCTCGCCTCTTGAGAAGGGATCCAGGCCAGAATGCACACAACCTCCCAGCCCACGGCCTGCTTGACTTCATGAATTTATAACTGTTTAAAATATAATGAGAAGATTTGGGGTGGTGTTTAAAATGGAAATTTTGTTTGCTTATATATAAGTAATAATCTCGGTGGACCTGGCAGCCAGAACTCAATTAGGGGAAAGTTTATTGATTAGTCACCCTGCAGGGAAGCAAAAAGCAGAGCATGCTACTGTTAACTGGCTGTTAGAAGAGATCTCTGCTGCAAGTACTAAATATATCCTGTGTATATGCACCTGAATATTATATACAGAAATGCATTTTATATACACAACATATATACACATGTAAGTAGACAGACAAAAATGTTTTAATCATGTCCAGTTAAGATAGAAAAGAAAATTCTTTGTTGATGTATCAGTGTTTTACAGATAACACTAGGTTAAGCTTAGAATATCTCCCTGAGGCCTAGCACAGTGGCTCATGCCTGTAATCCCAGCACTCTGGGAGGCCAAGGCAGGAGGATCACTCAAGGCCAGGAGTTGGAGACCAGCCTGGGCAACATAGCAAGACCCCATCTCTACAAAAATTAAAATTAAAAAAAAATAGCCAGGCACTATGGTGGTGCATGCCTATAGTCCTGGCTACTCGGGAGGCGGAGGCTGGAGGATTGCTTGAGCCCAGGAGTTTGAGGCTGCAGGGAGCTACGATGGCACCCCTGTACTCCATCCTGGGTGGAAGACTAAAACCCTATCTCAAGAAAATAATTTTTTTCTGGAATATTAGGCTGAGACTTCAGCCATCAGAGGCCTTCCTCTGCTTTGCTAAGCTAACTCTGTAACGGTGCGAGAGCCTCCTTGGGAATTTCGGCATTGAGAATGAGACCCCAAAGCCCTAAAGATCATGCAGCTGCTCCTCATGGTGATGGGTGTATTAGGCATCTAAGTCAAGACAGCATAGGTTGAGTATCCTTTATCCAAAATGCTTGGGACCAAAAGTGTTTCAGATTTTAGATTTTTCAGTTTTGGAAACATTTGCAAATACATAATGAGATATCTTACAGATCAGACCCAAACCTAAACATGAAATTGATTTATGTTTCATATATACCTTATACAGATAGCCCGAAGGTAATTTCATATACCATATTTTATAATTTTGTGCATGAAACAGAATTTTAACTGCATTTTGACCGTGACCCATCACATGCGGTCAGGTCGGGAATTTTCCACTTGTGGCATCCTGTTGGTGCTCAAAAGTTTTGTATTTTTGGAGCATCTTGGATTTCAGATTTTCAGGTTGGGGATGCTTAACCTGTACTAGTGATACTTCAAGGTAATGTAGTAATGATACAGAAAATTTACCTGTCCTCTTGATAAAGATGGATTTTAAAAGGATCACTTTGATGAGTATTCTAAGCATGCAGACAGCTGTTACCCAGGGTCAAGAATGACACTGGATCTCTCATTTGTTCATCTACTTTACAGCCTCCAGGGAAGACTAGTGGCCGTTGCAGGCTGGGCTGGCAGTGTGTGTGCGTGAACGAGTGTGCGGGCACTTCGGCACGCGTCTGTGCCCACTCATCTGATTACAAGTCTAGTCGGACTGTTTCCTGAATCTCAGTTTTCTTTTGACAATGAACACTCTTTCTCCCCGTGTCTTGGGATGGCTTAAATCAGCTAATGCCCTGTCCCGGGCTGTGAGGTTGGAGTGACGCTAGAGATCCATTCTTTGGGTGGAGGAGGAGGGAAAGGAGTCTAGGAGAGAGCCGTACTCGGAAGGAGCAGAGCCCTGTGCAGCGAGGATGTGCACACCTGCAGGGCTCTCCTCTCCCCCTTGGTCAACAATGAGGCTTCATGTGAAACAATGAAAATATGAAACAATGAGGTTTCATATTTTTAGGCTTTTGTAATATAAATTTTTTTCTTAACTTCGGCCAAACAGTGTAGCCTGAAATTCCCATAGTAGCCTCTCAGGCCAGGCCTGCCCATCCCCATGGCAGTTCCGAATCCTCTTCTCAGGCCTCCTGGTCTCTCTGCCACTCTCCGCAGATAGTTTCTCCTCCTGCTTAATGAGAAGACAGAGGTGACTGGTGGGTTGCCCTGGCTTCCCTCCTCTGAGCTTCGCGCTCTCTGTGCCCCTGCCCGTCTTTGTCTCCCTGCTCCTCCCTCCCACAGCTCTGCTTCTCCCATGTCCTTGCCTTCCCCCCCCCCAGCATTAATTTTCTGAGGGATCTTGGATGATTTATTTAATATCTACGAACCTCAGTTTCCTGATCTATAAAATGGGACTAATTTCTGCTTTACGGGATTATTGTAGAAATAAGCGAGAGTTTAGAAATAAGGAGAGGTTAGAATTTCCTGATACTTTCCAGGTGCTTAATAAAGTGTGGCTCAGGAGTAGGTAAAATTATTATATTGATTCCTGTGGGTAGAATAAGGCATGTGAGTAATTTGGTTTGGTCAAAGTCTAGACTTAAAATATACATATTAGAATATAAGTAAAGGATTACTCACGGCAGATTGAGTTATGTCCCTTTAACCCTGCAGCCTTTTCAGAAATCTGAAAAGTCGAAGAGGAATCTGCTGCTTACCTGCTAATAATATTCACCTATTTCATTTGTTACAGAACTAGTTTCTCCCCAGCTACTTGTAGTGATGTAAATTCCTGATAATAGCGAACGGCCTGTGCTCACTCAGCTTGGGCATTTCAGGTAAAACACCATGTGTGAAATTCAGAATTCTGTGACGACTGAAACTCCAGTGGGTACAGAGCAGAGAGTAGAGTTTCCATTGTCTAAATGTGACTCTCATTTTGAGTCATGCAGGTATAATTATAGGTATTTTATAATATTATTCTTCACAGTCTAAACTGTGCCTTTTGTTCTCTGTGTTCTATTTTACCACATGTACATTCTGCATTTTATTCCATTACATCAAATGGACTATTAGAGTCTGAAAGTCCAAATTGGTCCCTGTCTTTGCCCTTTAATCTGCAGTGTGTGTGGAATAGCTGAGCTTCTCCTTCTATATAATTAGGCTGCAAAACAGATGATATTTTGCTATAAAAATAACTATTTCCTTTAGCACGCTGCCATGACCCAAACTTGCATGATACAAAATAGGATAAAAGAGAAGGAACATATCTTCCCTTTTAAGTGGTTTTGCTGGGGACAGTGGAAGATGAACAAAATATAACATCCTTAATGTAAAAAATTCTTTGCCGTAGATGTACCGGAGCAGCCTGAATTGCACTGCTGTGCTTTCTGTAAATATCCATCACCTTTCTTGTCAGAACTATATATGGAAACTGCGGTGGGAAGGGGTAGAGACAAGGGTTAGGACAGTGGTTCCTGAATGTTTTCATCCGACAGCATGAGCACTGCCTCACCCTCCTCATCAGCACTGTCCTGTGGGCTCTTCCTGCACATGCATGGGCGCCCAGGCCCGGCCTCCACCCCAGACACTGCGCATGCTCCAGACACACCCACATACCACTGCCCACATTGGCTTTCTCCACCATCACCTTTCAACCTTACTCCAAATTTCCTGGCCTCCGCATCAGCTTTGGGAAGTCTTCTTCTCTACTTCTGCTGTTTTCCTACTGTACAGAGCAGGCAAAGGCAGAGGGAAAAGTTGGTGTCCTGGACACAACAGGAATGGGGCCAGGTATGATGGTGTGAGCTGGGCCACCTGGAAAGGTCAGAGTCCAGAGGTCCGGAGGAGAGGGAGTCTGCTGCTGCCTGGGAGTCAGGGAGAGGATCAAGGGAGGTTCAGGGACTTAGGTGATGTGCTGAGGGTCACACTACTCCAAGAGGTAGGGGGACAGGAAGGCAGCCTTGTATTCTAAGCCAACTGATGTTACATTCCCTGTGCCTGTGACAAATTTAGCCATCTCAGCTTGAAGGATGTTCTATGCCCAGCCTTGCCATGAGTCTCACGAGGGCGCGAGTTGATGCAGTTTTTTGGCCCAGATCGACCTGGGGACGATCCAAGTGGAGTACTGGGGCTCTGTGGGAACAGTAGCAAGAGATTTTGCTCAGAAGATTGTCCCCGTGGCCCAGACGTGCATGCCTCCCAGAAGGTCTTTGCACAGGTTGGATGGGTTCCTGACTACACCAAGAGGGTCTGGAGTTGAGCCTGGACCCCTTTGGGACCTGGTGTGGGAAGGAAGCTGGTGGACTTGTTTCATCAGCTGAGACAGGTGTGCGCCACCCAGTAGGTCCCTGCACAGGTGGGGTAATTCCGCAACTGCAATAAAAACTGATGCTGAGACTGGGACTCCTCGGGATCCTCTGTGGGATGGAGACTGGTGTGCCTGTCACAGTCATCTCAGCTCAGAGGGATGCACATCGCCCAGCAAGTTCCTGTGCAGATAGGATAGTTATCGACTGTAGTGGGAAGGGCTGGAGCTGAAACTGGGCTCCCTCAGGACCTCCTGGGGGATGGAGGCTGGAGAGCCCATCCCGTTGACCCAGACAGGTACACGTCTCCCTGCAGGTCTCAGCAGACGTGAGATGGTTCCCCAACTGCCCTCCCTCCTTCTTTCTCTCTCTTGCTTTTTACTGGTATGACCATGTTAACTGTCATGTGGTTACTCTTTGCCTTTCCATACTTATACATTTTACCTGTTGTTTACATTACATTTGAAATGCATTTCTCATAGACAGCATATTGTAGGGTCCCACTTTTTTTATCCAAACTGATTTTTGCCTTTTAATGAGGGTATTCAGACTATTTACATTTAATGTGATTATTGCTATGGTTTGGTTCAAAGCATTACTTTTCTGTGTTTTCCTTTTGTCCCATCTGTTCTTTTTTTTTCCTTTTAATCTCCTTTTTTTGGATTAATTAAACATTTTTTAACAATTCTGCCTTATATCTTTGATTAGCTGATTAGCTATAACTTTTTATTACTTAATGGTTGCTTCATGATTTATAAGATAGATGTTATCGCAATCTACTTCCAAGTGATATTATACCACTTATATATAGAATAAAAATCTTATAATAATATATTTCCATTTATCCCCTCTGACTTTTGTTTTATTGTTGTTAAACATTTTAATTTTACATATGCCATAATTCACACATTACATTGTTAATTTGTTTAAACAGTTATGTTTTAAAGAGATTTAAAAAATATTGATATATTTGCCCATGTGGTTATTTCCCAAGCTCTTCATTCCTTTGTGTATATTCTTTTTATGTTTGCTTATGGTGAATTCTTTCAGCTTTTTTATGCCTGAGAATGTTTTTTATTTTACTTTTGTTTTGGCATGATACTTCTGCTGAGTGTATGTTTTTAGCTTTACAGTATTTAGTACTTATAAAATGTTTGTCCATTGTCTTCTCCTGTGTATTAGTTCAAACGAGAAATTTGTCATCCTCCTTGTCTGTTCCCTTACATGTACTGTGCTTTTTTCTTCTTTTGTCAGGGTTTTTCTCTTCATCATTCATTTTGAACAGTTTGATTATGAAGTGCCTTGGTATAATTTTCCTTATGTTTCTCAGGGCTCATTTATCTTCTTGGATCTGTGGATTTGTAGTTTTCATCAAATCTGGGTACATTTTGGCCATATTTCTTCAAATGTGATCACACATATTCGGACACTTGAGGTTGTCCTAGAACTCTTTTTTTCCCCTGTATGTTTTTGTTTGTTTGTTTTCAAATTTTCTCTCTGTATTTAATTTTGGATAGTTTATATTGCTAGATTCTTAATTCACTAATTTTTCATTCTGAAATGCCTACTCTACCATTAATCCCATCTAGTGTATTTTTTATCTCACACATTGCATTTTCATTGATAAAGGTTCAATTTTGTGTCTTTTAAAACTATATTCCATGTTTCTGCCTAACTTTTTGAACATTTGAAATACAAGTATGATAACTATTTTAATAGCCTTCTCTGTCAATTCTAACATCTATGCTCTCATGCTGGGTATGTTCCAATTATTTTCATTATGGGTCTCGTTTTCCTGCTTATTTACATACTTTGTTATTTTTGATTAGGTACCAACATTTGGATTTACCTTGTTGAGGATCAGATATTTTTGTACTTTGTAAATATTCTTAAGCTTTATTTTAGGATGTGGTTGAGTTACTTGGAAAACTGTTTGATCCTTTTTGGTCTTGCTTTTAATGTTTGTTAGGTGGGACCAGGTCAGGGCTCAGTCTAGGGCTAAGTATTCCCCACTGCTGAAATAAGACTCTTCTGTGTATCTACCCAGTGTTCTATGAATCTTGAGATTTTCCAGTCTGGCTATTGGTAAAAGCCACCATTTCTGGCATCATGGGAGCTATTACCTCTAATCTTTTTAGATGGTTGATTCACAAGCCTTGGGTGGTTTCACGCATGTGCTGAGCAGTACTCAGTTGAATATTTGAGGGACCTTCTGCAAATCTCCAAAACTCTCTCCTTTCCAGTATTCTGTCTTGTAAAGTGTTGCCACTTTGGTCTCCTTGTATTTCAGAGGCAAAAGTACTCATGGATAAGTTACTTAACTTTTCTGAAGTGCTATTTTCTCATCTCTTACAAAAAGGATAATAGTATTTAGCTTATGGTTTTACCATGGGGGAATGAATGAAATGAGAGTAGTGTTTTTGTAGCACCTGGCACTTGGCAGATACTCAGCAAATATTTGGGCTTTCCCTGTCTCTGTACCTGGTTGTTACTTCTTCCTGATTTTACCTGGGTTTTCAACCTGATTTCTGGCTGAGCTTTAGATTAGGTCCTCTAAAATGACCAAGGCAGATAATCACTCATGGGACATTCAGGTTTTAACTTGATGAGTTTCATTTAGGTACAAACCTTATCCTCTTTCAATTAGACATTTTCCTTCTCTGAAATGTCACCCAATTCAACCTAATGGAATTATTCATTTATTTATACTATGAATGTCAGTAGGCTTTAGAAGATCATTGATGTGGGATGGAGAGAATTTAAGAGCACACATAAAGCACATAATGTTTTCTGCGACCCCAGTAGGATTTAGGGTTAGGGTTGCCTACTAGGTCATGAACTTCATCCTTTTCCTTTTTCCTCGGATTTTCCAAGGAGCTACATGAAGAACAGATGTGTGTTTACTAGAACTTAACCACTTCTCTCTTCTCTGGCAGTGTCTGGAGGTCGTAGCCGCCTGCATCTCATTGATCTCGGCAGCTGTGTGAAAGCTCTTAGCAAAAATCGGGAAGGAGGCTCCGGGCTGTGCCTCTCCCTGTCTGCTCTGGGCAATGTCATCCTGGCTCTTGTCAACGGCAGCAAACATATTCCATACAAGTAAGTGCCTTTTCTACTCACAGAATGGGATAGGGTGAGCATGGTGCCAGAGCTGGGTGTGAGCGTCTCTGCCCAGTGTTGTCCAAGGAGAGGTGTGCCATGGAGGGACAGTCTGGGCCACATTATTAGTTCAGTGCCTTAGCTAATCAGCTAAGAGAATAGCCTTAGCTAACACTTGTGTAACGCATGATCTCTCCTACATTTGAAAGTTTTAGGAATACATCTATTCCAGTCTAACTTTAGGCTGCTCAAGTCAGAGGGAATAGGAAATTATCTCAGCTGAGGTCTCCAATCACAATTGCTATTGGTAGATTATTGTCACCGCAATGGAGATGTATCTGTTTCATAGTGATGTGAGCAAGGGGAGGAAGGTTGGCTTACCTTTGATAAGAGTAGGGCCGCCAGATTTAACCAATGAAAATACAGGATACCCAGTTAAATTTGAATTTCAGATAAACAATAAATGATATTTTATTATAACTATACCCTCCAATATTACACGGGACTGTGCGTGTCATGTATTTTATCTGACAGCCCTACTTGGGAGAGCTTAGAAAGCTTAGGGAATTACCGTCCATCTTCCCATGTAAATATTTATTCTGCTTCCAGGATCCTTCCCCTCTTTCTGTTACTGCTCCAAGACAAACCAGAGCTGCTGCTATGTCGGGCACAGCTAAAGCCACCCCTCCCCACCATCATACAGCTTAGCTCTGCCAGTGTGGCAGACCTTGGCTGACTTCCACGCCCCTGCCAAGGCCCAGGTGTGCTCTTGTGAGCTAAGTGAACCTTCAGTCATCATAAACTGAGGATTATAGCTATATATTTGCTCCACATGAGAGGGATATAAGACTCAGAATGATATGGTATGTGTGAACATTTTTTGTGGAATTTAGAACACTGTGACCAATAACCAATGGTAACAATCTGGTTGAGCCTGTCCTCATCTATTTTGATGGAAAAACTGCCTACCTTAGTGGCCATGAGGATTAAAAGCATAAATGCAGAATCATTTTTTAATCTGTAAAAAATCCTATAAAACACAAGTTACTATTGTGTGGGAAGAAAAAGGTAAGTTGGGCAGTTTGTTCTACAATAACTGAGACTCAGGATGAGTCCTGGAGTTCTCCTTTCCCTCTGCCCTGAGTCAATGCCGTACCCCCCCCCAAACCCTGTGAGCTTATTTTCCACCAGGAGGATCATACTGAACTGACTTTAGGGGTATCATTGGTGGCTATAATCCTATCTGCCTCAATTCTTGAAATTTGGAATCCTACTTGAATAAACCCAGAAGTGATTTTCCCAGCTCTTATAATGACCCTTTTCTATAAGAGAAAAATTCAAGTTTAAGGTTTACAAAGTTTCACTTGATGTTATTTCTGTAGTTGAATAAATTCAACTTATGGGAAGAAAGAGAGGGAAGGAGGGAAACTGTCCAGGCTAGAGAAAGAAAGTACAGAGTTCTTGGCCCTAGTTGGTTTCCATAAAATGAGATTCATGTGTATTAATGTCACAACTTAATAGATCATGATGCAGATGAAATTCAAATACCACCTTATTATGAGGTCATTGATTATATCTTTCACACTGTTTCTGTAGAGTGACATGCTTTTATGATTTCAATAAATAGTTGTTGAATTGATGGAGGGGAGGATGGATAAATGTAAACATATGAAATTATTTTTAATTTAGATAAAGTAACTTCCTTTTGGTTGGAGTTGGGTTTTATTATAAACAAGGAGGGAAATGTTAAGAATTTCTTAATAGTTCAAGGTCTCTTGGTAAACATATTTTTAATATCAGGTAGCCCTAAAAACCAGCCACTTTCCCTCTGTGGAGGGCTGGCAGAGTGTGCAACCCCCACTCACGAGTCCCTGCGGACAGCTGATGGCACAATTCCAGGAGTCCCCTTCCTTCCATTCTGGCACCAAGAGAGTGAAGATAAAAGTGTTTCCATGTCTTAAGTAAGCAGAGACTTAATGTAAGTGCTGTGTCTGCATGAGATACGGTCATGGAGTTTTCCCTCACTCAGAACTTCAGCCTCGTTGAGCCATTGGATGCTTGGGTACAGATGCTTATCAGTCCCCGAGGTATGCGCTGCCTAACACATCTATCCAGACCGTGCCAGGCAGCCCAGTACCAGGAAGCATGATGGCCTGGCCATCCAGCCAGCACTGTCCTCCAAAACATTCATCGGCCAGTGTGTTTGTTCTGACATCCCTTAGTCCTTATTTATTTATTTAAGACAGGGTCTTGCTCTATCACCCAGACTAGAGTCCAGTGGTGCATCATAGCTCACTGAGACCTCAAACTCCTGGGCTCAAGCAATTCTCCCACTTCAGCCTCCTGAGTAGCTGGGACTACAGGTGCACACCACCATACTTGTCATTTATGTATTTTTCGTAGAGACAGGGGCTTGCTATGTTGCTTAGACTGGTCTTGAACTCCTGATCTCAAGCGATCTCCCATTTCAGCCTCCCAAAGTGCTGGGATTACGGGCGTGAGCCAGCTCGCCCAGCCCTTGGTCCTTGATGCCAGTCATTGTATATATGCTTTGAAAGACCGTTGCTCTAATATTTTCTCAGAGATTCAGCCACAGCATATAGTCAATATTTGGTGTCTGCAAATGACATTTGCAAAGTGATTAATCAACTAGAAACTATCCCTTTTTGAGGCTTACTCAAATCACCCAGCCAGTTGGTGGCAGGATCAAACTGCTGCACTTTTCACAGTTTCAGAGACCTTGACAGTTCTGAGCCCACTTGCCCACTCCCCCCTTCTCATCAAGCTCTGTAATAGATTAGCTGCCTTCATGCTGCACAGCAGGGGGACTTGGCACAGCAGGATGGCCCAGATTTCTTTTATCAATTCCATCAGCGCTCTAAAGCCACATTGTGCAGCATTTTGTCAGCATGCTAAACACCGTTCAGGGTGCCAAACCTTGCCTTTGGAAGGGGTTCCTTAGAGAGGGAAGTTTCCTGCCCATGCAGTTTCCTCTTATTCCTGCTCACTTACAGGAAAAAACAGACAAGCAAATTCCATGTTCTTTACCCTCCCCCATCCCCCCAAAACACAAAAACCCCACTACCTCTCCATTTGTCAGCCTAGAATAGGCATTACTTGTGCTTGCTTCTGGGAAATTAACTGGAATGTGCACAGAGGGGCTATAGCCTGTCCTCATTTCTCTTCATCGTTTTACCAGACAATTTGTCATGTGAGCAAGCTGAGAAGTGAGTTTGGACTCATTGCCCATTGCAGGTACCCCCCCAGACACCCTGGTTGTGCCCGGATGGCTCTGACTTTGCAAATGATCCTGCCGTCACTGCAGATGACAGGCGCAGGCGCAGAGCAGGTTACTGACCTCAGCTATTACACAGCATAGGCTTTCCAGCCATCCCCAGTGCTGTAAATCAATCCTAACCGGTGACACCATTCAGAAAAGCTCACAGGGAATGTGGGGAGACCACCAAGGGCTTTACCCCCTAGTCAGTTCTGCACAGACTGCTGTCTAACTTTAGGGGTAACTTCATGTCCAGGGAAATCTGTCCTAGTCCTGAGCACTTTGTCAGTGTATTTGCGAATTTTCTTCCATCGCTCCTTCATTATAGTCATTTGCTATCCCTCGCCACTTGAGCACCAAGGTGCTAAGAGTCTTTCCATTTGATAGATAAGAAAAAACAGGCAGGGGCACTGAAATGAATTCTCATGCCAAAAACCAGCGTTCCGGGCACACACCACTGGAGTTGGCCTAGGCGCCACTCCAAGGATCTGTCAGGGTGAACTTAGCTTTGGCCAAAGTGTTATTATGTCCCAGCTTCTCTGAAGGACCACAGTCTTTCTAGAGACTCAGAAATTCTAACCACAGCACAGTTCTCCCAGAAAAAATTTCTGGGCCAGATGCAGTGGCTCATGCTTGTAATTCTAACACTTTGGGCAGAAGGATCTCTTGAGGCCAGGAGTTTGAGACAAGCCTGAGCAAGAGCAAAACCCCCATCTTTACAAAAAATAGAAAAATTAGCTGGGTGTGGTGGCATGTGCCTGTAGTCCCAGGTACTCAAGAGGCTAAAGTAGAAGGATCACTTGAGCCCAGGAGTTTGAAGTTGCAGTGAGCTATGATGATGCCACTGCACTCCAGCCTGGGTGACAGCGCAAGACCCTGTCTCAAAAAAAAAAAAGAATTTCTGATCCCTTTTAGGTGTTGTCTTGTTAAGGGGACAGACCTGGGGAAGCACACCCTTCACTCAGCGATACTTCCAGCCCTGAAGCATGTACTTTCATTTATAACTGCTACTCCATTTGGAGAAATAATCACGTTAATAGGTCATATGATCTATTTGCTTATTTGCCAACAGGATGCTCGCACTCTCTTTCTAAACAATAGGTATTTGATAATGTCTTGGCTACCATTTAACAGGTCACAGAAAATCATTCTACAGTCATTTTACATGTTGTGCCTGTCTGAGGTGCTTTTCCCAGTCAACTTGAAAAACAGCACTAGGTAACCATCCCATGATGTGAGTGATGCCCAATGCCTCTCTTTTATGGCTCGGGTCTGCGGTTCAGACCAAGACCTACTCCTGGTTTGTTCAGATCAGTTGCTGAAGTGCTTTGGGTCTCAGCCAGCTGAGCTAACTCCTCCTCCTCCTCTCCAAAGTAGAGTACCTGGGAGAAAGCAGGGGAAGCCCGAGGCAGTCTGTTATCACAAGCTTCAGGCTGCGACCAAACACTGCAGGCAGCATCCACTTCCAGAAGCCTCTGTTCTACAAAGGCGATAAGGACACCCATCCTCAGGGTCTGTAATGGGAACTCTTTTCCTCTGGGGCCCTAGTGAGAAGTCAGACACCAGGGCCATTTTTAAGAAGGTAGAAGCATCAGAGCACAGCGGTTCATTAGAACCAGCAGGCAGCACCAGAAACTCAAATTCAAGTCAGTGACTTGAGAGGAAATGACATTTTATAAATAGAGGCAGCTTTTTCAAAATGTGAACACCTCTTCTCATCCAA